TAGTTTATGGAACTTGTAAACATTGTGGGACCGTCATAAAAATGGGAGTCTCCGGCGGTTATGGCGGTCCGGAAAAACACCTAAGGTCGAGGCATCCCGTGGAGTTTGCCAAATACGAGGCAAAAAAGAAGGGACGACAAGAAGTGCAAACCCAAATTTCTCGGTTTGCTAACAGAGGTAAGGGCGGCCTTTTTGCTTATAGCGACGAGCAAAATAAGCAAAAAATGGCCGAAATGATTTGTGAAGAAAATTTGCCATACATGTTTTCTGAGAAACTTGGTTTTATTGATTATTGTCAACAGGCATTAAACCCTCAAGCACGAGGTTTTTCAAGAAAAACAATTAAACGAGAAATTATTCGTCAGTATAAAAATGGAAAAATAAATTTGGCAAATTTTTTTCTTAATTTTAATTCTCGTGTTGCTATTTGTTCTGATATTTGGAGTGAAACTTATCATAATTTGTCTTATATGGGTGTTACTTGTCATTGGATAGATAGTGATTGGATTATGCATAAACGTGTTCTTGCATTTCGTGATTTCAATGAACAGCATACTGCTGAAAATATTTTCCTATTGCTTCAGAGTATTCTGCGGGAATACAACTTATCTGACAAAGTGTTTTCATTTGGTTTTGATAATACTACTAATAATACTGCAGCCATTCCTAGACTTAGAGAAATTTGCCCACCGTCTACGGCTATGGGTAGATTTCTGCACCAACGGTGTGCCTGTCATGTTTTAAATTTATGTGTTCAACAGGGACTAGAAGCTATGGGCGGAGTTTTGACAAATATTAAAGAAGGAATTAAAAGAATTCGGGGGGCTCGTCTTGTTTCAAAAAAATGGAAGATTTTCTGTAAGTCTAAAGGTAGAAAAGAAATAGTTTTTGCAAAAGATATCCACATTAGATGGAATAGTACATACAAATTGATTCATCAGATTCTAAAATATAAAGAGGAACTTGCTGAATTTTTTAGTGATGAACTTCGTATAATCATTGATCCTTTTGAATTTGTACTTGTTGAAAAATTGAATGCCGTATTAGAAGTTTTTAATAACGCAACTCTTACTTTTTCTCATGTTTACCAACCAACTACAAATACATTTTTAAAAGAGTGCGTTACAATCGCAACATGTTTTCGTGAAAGTAAGGCTGATCCAGATTTGTACCCATATGTCTCTCCTATGATACAAAAATGGTGTTCTTATTATTTGTACATTCCTGATATTTATAAAATAGGTATTATTTGTGATCCACGCTTTAAAATTGAAAATTATAAAATTTTAATTGATTATTACTACAAGTGTTTTTTAGATGAAAATAGTTATTACTACTCTTATTTAGTAGAATGGAAAAAAGAAAGAGATAATGCTGTAACTTTTTTTGAGAATTTGTTTGAGGAATATCAAGGGTTATACGGCACTGTACAAGAAGAAACAGCACCACCTCCGCCCCCGAAATCAAAAAAAGGTTTTGCCGGAATAGTCGGTGGGCTTCTTGCAAAGAAAGGGAAGCGTGCTCATTCTTCGACGAGTTCAAGTGGTACAACAGTAAGCTCGCACAACGAACTTGCTATGTACCAGGGTGTGCCATGCGATTACGATGAAGACGAAGTGGATTTTGACGTGCTCGGATGGTGGAAGCGGAACGAACACATGTTCCCATGTCTCG